TCCTACAACAATATTTGAATGAACTAAAGATTAAGACTGTTAGAAGTAAAAGGAAGGAATAAAGTTGGTTGATTTGATCAAGGTTAAAATAAGATATGTTGTTACTTCGGGCTACTCTTAATGGATTTTCTGCTGACACCAGGACTGAAAAGATGATGCTTTATGGATTGTTTATAGATAAGAGATGGGATATGGGATGAAGAGATAAATTTTTGTAATTTTAGAGAGGGTGAAGAGTTACTATATTTGCTTACACTTGTGATGAAGGTTGGAAGTAATTTCTTTATATATTTCTTTTCTCTTTATTATATTCTTTTCTTTTTCTTCTCTTTTTTCCTTTATTTTTCCTTGTACTTTTTACTCCCTCTCTCTATTCTCTTTTCTTTAAGTTTAGTTTGCATTACATTTTACTACTATAATCAAAATTCTTAATACAATTTGTACACACACACACACACACACTGATACAGACGTCTTCCCTTTTTAATCTAAGAGAAATGGTTGCTCCTGCATATTATTTTTTAAAACAAAGAAAGCCAAATGCATCAGCAATAGTGAAATCCTACAGCATATGGTATCCACCATATTGTCTTGTCCAGTTGTCTTGTCCAATGGAATCACTTTCAGTTTATGAGGACTGAGGATGTGGACAAGATGTTCATAGTTGTCTGGCCTACCAGATGTCCTGGCTTATTGACTAACTGATGGTGACTGATTGGGTAATACAGGGAACAGCATCTCTTTGCAGATGGACTGGTGCTGCCAGTCAAAAAAAAAGTAGTACACCTACTCCTGAAACCCTCCTGAGATTGAAAGAATTCTGCCAACTATCATACTTTACACAAGTACTTTACTTTGGGCAAATTTCTTGAAAGGATGGAGATTGTGTGTCACCAATACACTGATGAGACTCAGCTTTACTTCTCTGTTTCATCTGTTTCAGAAAACCTATGCATGTCCTGAACTAGCATCTGGGTGCACCAATCAGGTACATGAGGGTCAATGAACTGAGATTGAATATCAACAAGATAGAGACCCACCAGGTGACTGATTCCTGGATATGGGAATTGCAAGTTTACTTGTTCTAAATGTAAGGTATCATCACTGGAAGTTTAAGTGACCTCTGTGATTAGGAGTGCCTACTGCCAGTTTTGTTTCACCTGTCACCTACTTCATGTCCTTTCTTGAACAGGGACAGCCTAACTATGCTGATAATATCACATTTAGAGCACTGTAGTGTACTCTCTGCAGGGCTACCCCTACACTTGGTATGTAAAATGCAGCTGGTGCACACGTGGGACAGCTTGCTGTATATATATTATACCTTTGTTGCTGCTAATCAGCTACTGAGCCAGGTTCAAGTTTTAATTATGACATAGAAAGCCTTAAATAACAGAGCAGGAAACCTGTCAGATCACCTTTGCCATTATAGATCAGGTTGGTCCCTCAGTTCACAAGGGAAGATCTTATGAATTTGGCAGTTGCTCATTGACGGGCCTTTTCTGTGGTGATGATTGTGCCCTGGAATGTTCTACCCACTATGGTGATACCTTTTAGACCCGTGTTGATAAGTCTATGCTTCATGAAGGCCTTCTTGGTATGAATGTTGGAAGAAAGTTTTTTCCTTTTTTCACTTCACCTTTTAATGAATATGTTTTACTGGATATTGATTTATGTTGTTGTAATATACAATTTTATTATGTATTTATTTCTGTTTTTTATTGTAAATTGCTTCAGGATGCTTTGACATTGGAAGTGTTATTCAAATTTATTAAGTAAATTACATTTAAAAGTTGATTTCAATGCAAGGCCCATTAAATTCAGTGGTGCTTACTCCAGATTACATGAACAGGACATTGCAGCTTTAACTGTATTAAGCTTCTACTGTTTGTATAATGTATATCCAACTTCTGAGCATGTGGGGCTGTTGCCTTTATGGTGAAAACCTATAGCTAGCACATTTGAGAACACGAGGGTTAAAACTTAATTGAATATTTTGTTTACACAGACACAAATGGTATATTACAAAGTGACTCACAGAATATTGCCATTTGAGTTAATTTGCTCAGTTCACGGAATTCAAATCAAGCATAAGCACTCCCTTTTTGTGTGAGAGAGAGGGAGCCCCCTACATGCAAGGTGGAAATATATGCAGAATTGGATTCCTAACATTTCACAGAATGGAAAAGAAACTTCCATATTGAAAAGAAGTTTGCCTGGAATCAGACTGTTTATCTACTCAGTAAACACTATGATTATTCTATCTACTTTTGCAAGATCAAGTTTTAAATTGTCTGAATAACAGCTGGATACAAGCACACAAGAGTAAAACAACTTGTGCTGTTTATGGTGAGGTCAAGCAATCGGTCACTTTTTCTTGCATCTTGAAATGACATCAATGATCATGTTTTAAACAGAAGATGTTTGGTATACATTACTATCAAGGACACTTTCTAGATTCTGGCATAGCTTATATTTTTCTGATGCATTTGTCATTTTGTTTCATGCCAAACAAAAGAGTAAATAAATACTACTTTTCTTGGCAGTTTTGATTTTTTGTTTAGATGTACATGTTTTATAGACTAAATGGATGTTCAGGTCCAATAGTCATTAACAGTGCTTAGAATAAGATATTTGTTACAGTGAAATTGTTATTAATGTTATGAGGTTTATATTAATGTTATGAGGTCCTCCTACTGTACCAATATCACTAAGACATGGTATTTCACTGTAGTTGTGATAACCGTGGATTTCCAATTCAAATAACCTAATGAATATATTCTGTAAATTACTTTTATATGATGAACTGTATTAAATAAGATAGATGTTGGATTAAAAAAATCATTTGAGTTTATTGAGGAAGCAGCAGCCATATCCTTTTATCAGTGAGTACTGTGATGAATATATTCCTTAAAGTAATTTTGCAATATATGTTAATAAGGCAAAGACAAGATCTAAACACAACTATAATATTAATTATGCTTCTATTTTTGAAGTAAAAGGGACAGAGCTGTTTGCTCACACTATATTAACAATAATCTTTAAAATGAATTTTTGGAGATCTATCAATCTATCTATCTATCTATCTATCTATCTATCTATCTATCTATCTGTCTGTCTGTCTGTCTGTCTGTCTGTCTGTCTGTCTGTCTGTCTGTCTATCATCTTTCTTCAAAGATATGAATCTATATGAACTTTCCAAAGCATTCAAAGCTATAAAGGAGAATCTGATCCTGATTTATTCTACTCAGGTTATAATACCATCCTCCCAATCTACAGCTTTTTCACTGCTGATGCTGCAGGTATAGGTGCAAGGTAGGCAATACCTGGTCAACAGCAATACTTGTAAGAAGTACCTGGGTGTCCTGGTAGACCAGAGATTAAGCATTGCCAAAACAGCCAGTACAGTCTTGGGCTGTATCTACAGAGATGTAAATGTTGAGATCATAGGAAGTGATCATTTCACTTGATGCTGCACTGGTCAGACTGCTTCTGGAATATTATGTTCCAGTTTGGGCTACCATAGTACAAGAAAGATGCTGACAAATTGGAAAGAGTGAGATAAGAGCTGAAAGATGCTGGAGGGTTTGGAGTCTAAATCCTACTAGTCCAGAATGCAGTGATATGGCCAGAATGCAATGGTATGGGTCCACATGACACTTCTGCTTCACAGGTTGCACAGGTTGCCAGTATGCTTCTGAGTGCAATTCAGATTTCATTATCTATAAAGCGCTACATGGCATATGGCCATGTAATTTGAGGGACTGCCTATTTCCCATGTTTCTGTCCATCTGGTACGTGCTAGCAGAGTTGGTGCATTCCAGGTTCCTTTGATTAAACAGTACAATCCATGGACACCCACAAAGTGTAACTTCTCTACCCTGGTTTCTGCCCTCTGGAATGAGACCCCCCTGAAATCCATGTGGCTCCCACCCTTTTGGGATGATGTAAAGCTTTGAAGACTTGGAAGTTCTCCCAAGTCTTGGTTAAGATGAATGGGGCTCCTTGTTGAATGCATTTTTGCCTATCTTTTTGTATCGAGCAAACAGATCCCATCTTGCTTTGTTATTATATTATTGTTATTATATTATATTATTTTTATGCTTATTATATTGTGAACTGCCCAGAGTCAGTTTGGAGTGAGGCAGTGCCTAAACTGAAATAAGTAAATAACAATTAAAGAAACTGGGTATGTTTAGCCTAAAGAAAGCCAAGGGGAGACATGATAGCTGTCTTCCAATACTTGAAGGGGTGTCATTGAAGAGAATATGGCTTGATCCTTCAAAGCACTCAATGGTACAATAAGAATGAGAGGGAGATCCAAACCCAAAATAAGGAGGAATTTTTTGGCAGTGAGAGCTACTAAGCAGTGGATCAACTTGTCTCATAGAGTCATGGATGCTCTATCACTGAAGGTTTTCAAGTAAAAACTGGAGAGCCATTTGTTTGGGATGGTCTGAGGATTCCTGCCTGGGCCAGGTAGCTGGACTAGAAGATGTCCAAAAGTCTTTCCAACACTATGAGTCTATGAGAAAACAGTTTCTGAGTAAGATATTGAAGCTTCTAATTTCAGATGACAAGTAAAAACATATTTTATGTGAAAAAAATGTTTTTTATAAATGATTTATATGATTTTATGACATTTATTGCATAATTATTTGTTCATGAAGTTATTATATTGACAATTTTATTGTTTGGCTTTAGTACTGCAAAGGGAAATAACTTTGTGCATCATAGTGAAGTACTTTGTTTCTAAATGCCATGACAGCTGGCTTCTATGACATGGACAAGGCTACAGAAGCAGCTCTGTAGAACATTCTTTAAGGTATATTGGGAATATGTAGGGCTGAAATCCTTTCTGACAACCATACAAGCAGGGCTTAGCGATGGTAACAATAGTATAATCTGAAAGAATATCCACTGGACAACATCCACTCCCGCCCCTCCAATCCTTTTTCTAATGGTCTATTTTGGCTCCAGAGATTGTTAATTTAGTAAATATGTTATCAGAGAAGCTTTTTTTTAGTCCTGATTGAGTTTTAATATTTACTTCATTTGTCTCCATATGACTCAATAATACTGTATGGGACTTATTTCCAATTTATGGGGAAATGGACTGAAGGAACATGTGGTTCCTAAAACAGCTCATTACAGCAAGATGAGATTAAATCATATCCCCAATATCTATGTCAAATTATGTTCTGAAAGCTGGAGTTCTTCTATCTCAGCTTATTCTAATGGCACTAGTGTCCTTTCTAACCTCTTAAACAGATGGAACATTTATTTTAAGCCTAACAGGATATCCTTAACACAAAAGCAGTTCTCTTTGCCAGATCATTATAAAACACTATAGTAATGCATGTTTCATGCAATCCAGGTAGCAGAATTACGTGTAACTCTAATAATTTATCCAGAATAGAAAATTCTACCTATAATTTTAATACAGTAACTTACCAGTGAAACAATATGGGTTTCTAAATCTATTACTTTAATTTGATGATTGTTGGTATCTGCAATATAGAGGAATCGCCCTCCATCTTCAACACATAGGCCTCCTGGCTCATTAAAAGTTGAGGTGGTAATGTTGGAACCAATTACATTGCTTGCTTCTCCTGTACCTGCTAACGTAGCACAATTCTTCATTTTGGGATCGACAAATTTAATCTAAAACAAAACAAACAAGACACTTTGTAGAACATAAAGCAATTTTACTCCTTCTTAAATATTATGAAGGTCCTAAAAAACCATAGAGTTCATATTCCTTCTTAAAATCACTAACCTCAATGTTAGGTTGATCTAGAAGTTTAGAAAAGATTTCTTTTCTTTTTTTAAAAAAAAGCACATACAGGAACTAAGATTGGCTAATATCAAAATAATTATCACTGGCAATACAGCAATATTAGCCTTCGTACTGCTTCACGACTCACGTTTATAACAGTTCCCCCCACCTTTTTTTTTTTTTTTGTACATACATAACCATCATACTATTCCCTTCTGGGGTAAGCATTTTATGACTTACAGAAAAACAGTAAAAAGTAGTCAATAAAACCAATTAAAGGCAGGGAACAAGAGAAAATAAAAGGAAATCTAAACTTAGTTTTCACCAACAGTATTCATTATCCTCTTCAGCATATTTCTGTTCTCGAAAACCACACTAGCTTCCATATCCATGCACTGATTCATATTTTGCTTCAGTATTTTATTCTTAAAATATTTTAATTAATTATTTATTTTATCACTTAGGTTCTACTTTTAATATCCTGCTATATGCACTTACTGTACTGTAGTAAATGTCATATACTCCTGTTGGCATCTTAGAAATTTAGAGTTTAAGGCATTTTTATTGTCCTTTCTATATAATGTATATGCTTTCTTTCCTATGTCATGGCCTCCTGTGCTTTATCCTTTTATCCTTTTCATGAAGCTGATTGTTTAATTCACTGGTCAGTGACCATAATAAAGATTATCAATCAATAAATTAATCATTCAACCAACCAACCAAATATTGTTTTTGTTCTTTAAACTTCTGAACCTTCTCTTTTGGAGGATTCTATCAATTCCATTCAACAATAACTTTCTCAGTCTTACCCTTCCTCTTGACCATCATTCTTCTGTCATATATATTAGTTTTGAGATTGGATCACATCAGCTTAACTTTTTCTTTTGGTGGTGGTCACTCACTTCTATGGTCAATCCACATTCATACAGCACCTATATATTAATGATCTTATCTCTTCTTGTTTTACCATACACACTTCTTAAGTAACCCATTCCCACTGTATTCAACTTTTATTTCTTTTCATACCAAACTCTCAATTCTGTATAATAAAGTAGGCAGAAGAACACTCTTATATACTATCTTTTTTGCTTCTTTTGACAAACATTAATTCCCTTGACAAATATACCACATACTATCCACTTCTTTTCTAACTGTATTTTGACATCTTAAAGTATCTCCATCCATTTCCCCATATTTAGTACACATTTCACCAAGTACACAAATTCATCTTACTCTAATGTTTATGGATTATAGATGTAATTAGTATAAAATTTACAAAGTGGGGTTTAAATCATAAAGTAATGGAGACTTTAATCTCTAAGGGTGGTAGCTAAGTTTAAGAGCTAGATTTTTGCAGGGCAGAAAAGTTGGCTATGTCAACAACCAACAGGTGCCTATATCCAAAGCTGAAAAACACAAGGCTGCGGGAAAGGTGGGAAAAAGAAACACAGAAATTAATCATCATGGTTATAAGAACAATCTTCACTTCATGCTGACAGAAGGTAATCAACTGTTTATAGTGATTTCATCCTAGTATGCAATAAAGATTCTTGTTTAGCTCTGATGTGTTGCGTGTCTGGCTAGGTTTTACCAAGTTCAACCATGGGAGCCTGACAATAATTTTTCTTCAATTTGTTGGGTAAACAATTTGTTGGCTTTTATCATTTTGACTCCACATTTAGTGCTTTTAACTGTTATTCATCAATTGCTGGAATCCATTTGTTTAAATTTAATCTAAGAAACTTTCTTGAGGCACTTTATACAAATTCAAAACTTGTTTGAAATATAATTTGTCAGGTGAAAATATAAAAAGCAACCGCAATAATACACACATACACAAAGAGATGTACCTTGTGTCTTAATTCTGCAATACAGTTTTATATTACTGAATAATAAACCAGATTTTGTAGTGAAAAATACTTCAGAGTATGCAACCTCACCTTATGATTATAGGAATCTGCAACATAAAGGAGGCTTCTTTTCTTGTCCCAAGCTACTCCTAATGGGTGCTGTAGCTTTGCATTTATCCCAGCTCCATCAACATCACCAAAAGCAAATAAATTCTTTAAAAAATAGTTTGGAAGTAACATGATGATTAAATAACAGGTTTTTATCAGTTAGTGATAATCAGCCTGACTTCTTGCTAAAACATTAACTTGAATTCAAATTAGATTCATAAAATACAAATTTTCTTGACAGTTAGTGATAATTTGGCATTAATCTCAGTGCTAACGTACATATATCTATTGGGTTATAGCTCTACACATGAAAACTTGTCTCATGCCACTTCACAGTGTCAATTCAGATATTTAAAATTCAGATATTTGTATGTAGTCTGCATGAATTCAATTTCAAACTTTTTTTTTTTTTTTTAGCTTGGCCTTGGAAAGTTGGAATATTCCTAACCTAGCTCTAAACTCTAATATACCTCTTTTTATGCAAAGGAACCAAGTGTGGAGCTCTTACAATAGCTGTGTTGACCTGATGTAGGATGAATTCTGCCACTGATCATGATTTTGTTTTTTAAATTGATTATGGATAATTTTATATATTTGTAGATTTGTTTTTATTGGACTGTTTTACCTGTTGTGAGCTGCCCAGAGTCACTTAGATGAGATGGGTGGCCATACAAATCCAGTCCAATCCAATCCAATCCAATCCAATCCAATCCAATCCAATCCAATCCAATCCAATCCAACCAATCAAATCTTAACAATAAAAACAGGCAGTTTTTTGTTCTGACTCCAGGTCATTCAATGACATGTTATGTATTGTACGCTCTCATGAAGCATTCAGACTGGCCTTTTGGCTCATCTGCATGATTACAAAATATTGGGACCATTCTTTGACTAAGCTTCTTATTAATTTTTACTTTACCTTTTTGTTTAAAAATATTCATGGCAATTTTAAAATATTGTGATTAAAAATATGAATGGCAAAACCCAACTTTCTGTGACACTGTAATAGGAGAAGATTGTTTATTACTTAATACATCAACCAACTATTTTTCCTAAAGCAAAATCTGAAAGACAAATCTTCAATGTTCCTTCTGGTTTCACCACAGATATATCATGCTTGCTGGCATGAATTTGGTGATCACTGGCAGGCTGATTCAGTTATTCTAAAAGTTAAATGTTTTAATGACCTGCAACTGCTGTAATAACTAAGAAATAAACATGTGATCAATTGTACTAGGACATGAATTGGCATTTAAAATAACTTTCTACCTTTAGGGATCAGAGAATTTCTAATCTGGATGTGTAGGATCAACGTAAAACACAGAAATATGAATTTAGGTTACCATTGGGTCTCTCTCGCCTCCTACAAGATGTTTCACAGAGCCATCTTTTAGAGAAATTGTTCGCACGGTACTACTCTCACTGTCTGCAACAAAAAGGCAATTCCATGGGTCTTCAGTAGCAACAGATAGACCGGAAGGTTGAGCAAAGCCTGCTTTGTGGGGATATGCGTTGTTTCGGTTCTCTTCATTTCCACTTCCAGCAAATCGAAGACAAATTCCTTTCTTTAAATCGCTTAAAAAAAAAAAAAGGAGAGGGGTCAGATTTCCATAAACCCCACATGAACTTGAACCTACAATTTATACAATAAGTTGTATTCAATGTTTTTGATCCTGTGAACAAAAGTAAGCTTTCTTTTCCACATTTTTCTAAACTATGAAGTAATTGGAAATGTATTGTATGCAATGTTCAGTGAGTATAACACACATATGCTTTTTATATCCTATTTTTCTCCAAGAGCTCAAGGTAGCTTATATGGCAGATTCCATTAATTTTATCTCTGCAATAGCAACCCTTTGAAATTGGTTGGCTGAAAGAAAAGGACTCTCCCAAAGTCACCCAGTGAACCTGGCTCCCCATATTTCATTAAAAATACAAGCAGATACTGTCCTCTTTTCCCTTCAGCTATACTTTCCCAATTACTCTAAATGAAAGACAGTAATCAAGAATGACAATTGGTTTGTCTATTCATGTAGTCATGAAGTTTTCGTTAATTTTTGTGATATGTTTATTCCAACAAATATCAGAATTTTGTGGAGAATGTGATGTGAAAACTGGACTTTGAAGCAGCAGGATAGAAGCGTATTGAAGAATTTGAATGGTGTTGGAGAAAACCTTTGAGAATACCATGGGTAGCAAGAAAACAAACAAATGTATCACAGAATAAATCAGTTCAGAGTTTTCACTCAAGGCACAAATGGCCAGGCTCAAATTATAATATTTTGGACACATTATGCAAAGACCCAGTTTCTTTGATAAGTTTATAATGGTGGGAAAGGTGGAAGGAAAGAAAAGAAGACATCTTGATTATAGCAGTGATAGGTATACTATTGAAAGTTCTGAAGGGGCAGGTCAGGGATACATCATCCAGAAGAATGTCCATCTATGTGGTCACTAAGAGTTGACACCAAGTTGATGATGCATAATCAGCCAATGAATCGATTAACCATTGCTTTAATGGGAACAGAATGTATCCATTCAAATACTCATTATTCCAAATAGTTTGGATTTCTTCCTGAATAGTTGGATACACCAACAGTGACTGAGAAAATATGTATAACAAGAAATAATATTCAGTAGAATTACACAATCAGATTATTATCATGGGGTGCTGGTAAGACAGTCTAATATTCTAGCTTGCCTTCCTTTAGGTAGTTTTCCACTTTCCAACATGAGTGCCCAGATTTGATGTATGCCTGCCATGGCAATCCAGAGAACACCGTCTTCATGAGTTGCTGAAACAATAAGAACTTATCAGTAAAAGTAGCAATAGATGACCTCTTGGTAGCAAATCACCTCATTTCTTATATATAAAAATAACTTCAAACTGCCAATAATTCTGTAGATATATTTTCATTCTCAATTTGGTAATAAAAATACTCAATGTACATAATTCTATTTTTATTATACTATTCAAAACTAATACACACCAGCAATTGTGACTTAATTTACAGTCTGAATTAATCCAGGCTTTAAATACTTGCCAAGTGCTTATGAAACTAGCCAATTCTAAGTCTGATTATTCAGGGAAAACAAAACAAAAAAAGCCTAGAGCAAGAAATGCCATAAAATATGTACGATTTCCTAAAATGGGAAAAATTTCTAATCACTATATGAACAATGAGGGATCAGTGGCGGGTAGACTGTTTGGGATTGAAGCTCATTAACAATGTCAACTGATATGATAAATAGCAATATTAATTTTAACTGTAGTACAAAACATCTTGTTGCATTAGACTGCTTAACTTTGTAGCAGATTATGGCAGTATCCAGTTGTGTTCATTACTCTCAGAAGGCCCTAATTCTGCAAGGGTTCCATAATGGAAGAGGAAAAATATTTTTGGTAACTTCCACCTCTTTGATTCAGAATTTTGTGGGATTCTTTGAAAGAGTATATGAGATAGCATCTGGAGACAGAGAAGAATAAAAAAATTAGCAAAAACTGCTTTCCTCTAGTATCCATAGATGGGTATTTCCAGTGGAGCAAGATGTTTGTTATGAGCAGAAAGATCCAACCCTATAAAAGTAATTTAATGAAAAATATATTTCTGTTCTCTTGTTGTTTAAACAATGGCAGTTATCAAGAAACTGTTAATATTAATAAATAAAAGCAAAAAGGTGAGGATGTGGCAAGGAGGGCCTTTGACCAATTTTGACTGGTAATTGTTATGACCCTACCTGGCAAGGATGACTTGGGGACAGTAACTCATACTTTTATCAACTGGTTGGATGACTATACAGGTAGATTTCACTTAATGACTGCCCTGTTTAGTGACCATTTGAAGTTACAATTGTGCTGAAAAAGTAGCTTAATGACCAACCATTGCAGCATCCCCACGATCACATGATCAACATTCAGGCACTTCACAACCAGCTTCTGACAAGTAGAGTCAACGGAGAAGCCGGCAGTAACATCACAAGTTGTGGTCACGTGATATCTCACTTAACAACCAAATGGGAAGTAACTTAAGTCCATCGCAGTCACGTAATGTTTTGTTTAGCGACCATATTGTTTAGTGACAGAGTTGCCAGTCCCAATTATGGTTGCTTAGCAGGGACTACCTGTAATTCACTCTACATGGGGCAGCCTTTGGATTCAACCCAGAAGCTTTAACTGGCCCAAAATGCAATGGCTAGATTATTAATGTCACAATCCCATCATAGTAGAATAATATCAGTACTAATGTCACTGTATAGGTTACCCATAGATTTACAGGCCCAAATCAAAGTGCTGGTGAAATCTTACAAAACCCTATACAATGCAGCATTAGGTTATATCAGACACTTCCTTGCTATGGCTCAATCTGCCTGTCCAGTAAGAGTGTCATGAGAAGGCCTGTTTAGAATTCCCACTCTGAGATTAGAGAAATAAAGACCAATCAGACCTTCTCTGCTGTATCCCTTGTATTTTGGTACTCCTTGCCTCCAGAGGCTTGAGCAGAACTTTCCCTCCAGGCATTTTATAAAGCTATTAAAACGCAATTCCACTGTGCTTTTAACCATTATTGAATGTTTCTAAAAATCAGAGCAGATCATTCACCTGCCGTTTCTGACTTACCAAAAAGCTTCCTCCAGTTTAGGCTACATCCTCTTTCTCTGTCTATTGTTACATTGTCAAGATTTTCCACAAATCAGGAAGCATAGAAGTTTGAAAGATTTTACTTAAAATGTTGTTTTAATAAGAAATAGCAGGCATTTCTTCCCCTGCTCTCTGTTATGCTCTACCCACTCTTCTATGTAATTCTGGCTAACTTGGTTCTGTTGCTGTTGTTTTCCAAGCATTAGATCTGTAAGAGAGTGACTCCTATAAATTGCTTGGACGTTTGGGAAAGGTAAGAAAGTAGAGGAGATAAAACTGTTTTTCCTTGGATTTTCTATGCTGCTGTATAAAATAGAATAGGGATGGGCATATATAGACTTTTCATGTGACTTACCATGGATACCCAGAACAATACCATTAAAAATCTCACTCCATTACTGGCTGCAACCAATGATCATTTCCACTGAGCTGAGTTTCTAATTCCTGATTCACTACTTGAAACCATATATGGCTTTCAAACCTGAAAAATTAACTAGCCCTGATTTGAGAAATCTATCCTGTTTTGGATGCCCTTCACAAAAGAGGAAGAAACCAGTAGTAAGGAAAGATACAATTGGATAGTAAGCAAAGCTAATATTTATAGGCCCTGATGTAATTACAATCAGCATTACAACCTCATTAGCTAAAATCAAACTGGATAGCAGCTTTGATTACAACATTTTCTCAAATTTCAGCATTTAAATGGCTTCGGTGCTAGATCACTATTGTGATTATTGACACTAAAAAGAGCAAGGAGAGGAACTATCCTTTTCTTCTCTATACCCACAAAAGAACTACTTTACCCAAATCTTGTATTCTTTTCACTTTCTAGTAGAATTATGCTTTTGTTCTTAGACAAAAGAAAGTATACTACTTCCTCCTTTATAATGCAGAAATTTCAGGAGAAAAGAAGCAGAGTAATTTATATCCAGCACACTATTCCTCCATGAAATAGTTATTTATATAAAAGGCATGTATTCATGGATATCATTGAATTTTTTCTTTCCCTTTGGTAATGTCTGAATAGCAATTTTTACACCTTTTTAGCTGTGCCTATTCATTATACCCGGTATCAATCTCTTTTTAAAAAATATTTGTATAAGATATGGTAGCCCTACTCTAATTCAGAAATCCTTGCAGTCCTGCAGCACATTTCAGTAACTTAAATATTTGATTATATCTCATCAGTTTAAAAACTCTAAGAAGACAAAAACTACTCCGATCAGAAATTGCATAATCTATTAAGGTGTTCAAGTCTGTGAGTTTAAAGTTAGAATGAAGTACATTTCTAAGCAGAAACCTAGTTCTTAGAAACACATCTCCTATTTCCTTTTCCCCTGTGATGAGCACAGGGAAAGGAAAGGAAAGAAATCATTATAATTTCTTTTGTGGAAGTAGCCTTAATTTCCAAAGCCTGTGTTGTCCAATAAAAGCAATAAGATTATGAGTATGGATGGAAAATGATACTGTATTGACGCAATACCATTGTGTATGTGACTTGAGACTTTTAGGGACTGATGGGTTTCCCTTGTTCGTCCCAAATTATTATAGAGGAAAATATGTATTATATAACACCACACATATGAGCTTCTAAATTTCCTTTTGGAATTTATTTACACTGTACAATTAATAGCTCTGAAAAACCTTTGTGAACTCAGTGTTTCCCAAGGGATTCATCGTTTCCTGAAAAATAATAATTCCTTTTCTGGGAAAATATTTTAATAGATTTAGTAGATTTACTTATAGTAAGTGAACAGTATAAAAGTAGAGTGCATTCTGGTGGACACTGTTAGAACTGGCACTTGGTCCTAATAACTAAAAGCAAGTCCTTACTGTGATACAGGGATTTTCTAGTTATCTGGTGAATTTTTCTATTGACAAAATCACTCCTTAAAAACAAAACAAAATACATAAACTAATAAATAATGAAATAATAAAATTGTGATCCAAATAGAAATGCCACTATCATCCAATCAACCCTCCAACTTATCATGACCCAAAGCCCAGGGAAAGACCCAGATCCTTATAGCCTTTCTAAAACCCAGCATGGTCAGGGAGGAAGGTTGTTTTGTAAGATAGGGACTGTCACCAAAAAGGCATGCTTTCTGGGTCCTACATGATGGCATTGTTTCAATGAAGGACCTGGAGTGCATCTTCCCTATCAGAATATGTGGGGCAGGCAGATACTGTAGGGAGAAGGCAATCCTGCAAATAACCCAGTTCTATGTCATGTAGGGCTTTAAAAGTGATAAATATCTTGAATTGCACCCAGAATCCAATTAAGAACCAATGCAGCCCATAACTACCCACATCGTTGCATTCTGGGGCAGTTCTACTTTCCAGATGATCTTCAAGGGCAGCCCCATGTACAGTGTCTTGCAAATAATCCAACTGGGAGGTGACTAAGGTTTAAGTGACCATGAGTAGGGCCTCCTGATGCAAGAAGGGGTGCAATTGGTTCTGGATGGGGTTGCACTGCCTTAAACAGAACCAGCTTGAAATCTGGATATCCTCTTGGATTCACAGCTCCTGCTCAAGGACCAGGTAGCAGCTATAGCTAGGACAACCTTTGTACAGCTATGGGTTTTGCATCAGTTGTGTCTGTTTCTGGACCAGAAGGCCCTGATTACAGTCACTCATATCCTAGTGATGTCCCAACTGGACTACTGCAATGCATTGTACATGAGGCTGCCCTTGAAGAACATTCAGAAACCTCAGCTGGTGCAGAATGTGATGGCGTGAGCAGTTAAGTGTATCTGTTATTTGGCACATGTGACACCACTGCTCCGTGAGCTGCACTGACTACCAATATG